AGGAGTTTTGAAGTAAGGCACGTCGTGTTAAACGGATCTTAGTTTTATGAGAGGGTTTTGTCTTTTGAGAAAGGATGGTAGGGTAGTTACAATGTAAATAAACTATTCTGCAAAGATTTTGCAAAGAGTTATTGATCGGCGCAAACCAAGAAAGCTCTTTTTCTTGATGAGTGCCATTTTTTCTTTGTAATAAACATTTATATCAATTACACATTAACGTTGAAATAGACATCGTGATTATATGTTGCTTGCCAATTTAGTACATGTTTTTATTCTTATCAGCAAAGTCGACCTTTTCTGGCATGTGACGATTTTTTTATATGGGCAGTGATTTAGCTCCTGTAGACACAAAGCTTTTTCGAGACTTGGGGTGCCAGTTAACGGTGAAGACAGAACCCAACGGTGCAAATAATTAACAATTACTCCTCGAGCCCGAATGGGCTGTCAGTCAATAGCCCATGAGGCCGAAGGAAGAATGGGCTATGGACTCAGAGGCTATGAGCGCGAGAGGAATAATTGTTTTAGTAAAGTCCAACTAGTTGGTCAAAAATATCGAGATAAAACAACTTTAGCTAACAAAACGCGATTCAGCCGCCATTGTTTTGGTTTTCAAAGCGGGTGCTTTTCGCTATTAGTGGGCTATACCATATAGCCTAGTAGTAGCTCGACAAATCAGAACGCAGCATTGATAATAAACCACTAGTTGGATTTTACTAATCATTGTTAGCATATGATATGTTAGTGGGGAGCAGTAAAGCGAGGGCGTAAGCTCAGGGTTACGTCCTTTCCTGTCGTTTTGCGTCATGGGCGTCGCCTACCGCTCACCTTGTACGGGCGATACCCCACTATCTGAAAAAGACTGCTCGCAGTCCAATGAGCGCGAGCATACTCTTTTTAATTTAGTAATAATAGTAATATTTTGCGCAAGCCTGTAGGAAGCTAACTTTTCAACTTATATTATTTATCTTTCATGCTGTTAATATAATGAATACATGAATTAAGCAACCTCCTTTCCAGGATCTTTCATCTTCCCAGACCCGGAGGAAGCGAGAAGTAGATAGACTCTGGGAACGAGTTTGAATAAAGTTGTTACCTCTTAACATGCAATGAGCTTTTACTTTAAGAAAACCAGATTGAGTCGAAACTCGCGTTCCTTTACATTGGCAGATTTAGGGGTGGAACCGAGGGGGGCGCAGTCCACCCCGTTTTTCTTTCTGTGAAAATTGGTATTTATTGGTAAAGACCAGGAGCCCATAATCTGGAGCGTGTAACATCCATGCGTTCGTGTTACTGCGTTTTCACGGACCAGTTTATTTTTAGAACGATTTTGGCGCGAATTTTGAATATGTTTTAAATTCCAAAAAAATTCAGCACAACCTGCAGACCTAAAAATGATATTTTTTGCCTTTTAATAACGTTTAGTTTTCCTTGTTGATATCTTACACTTTAAATGCGCCCATAGACATGTTGGAGATTCTGTTTTCGAGGGAAAAAGTGTCCCAAAATGTGTCTAAAAATAAACTGGTCCGTAAAAACGCCGTGACATAGGCCTAGTTTCTCGCTCTGGGTTATGGGCTCCTTTAAAGACTTAAAAAAAATTGTATCTAAATGGCTAGCAAGTTCCCTGTGCGTCCGTTCTGAATTTTCTGGATCCGCCCCTGGCTCATGGAAAAGACTGTCGATAGCCTGCGAATACAGCGACTTTCCTCCTGCGAATCGTCCCTAGCGGCGAGGAGCGACGGCTGTATTCGCAGGCGAGACTGTCCAATGAAACAAAAAAATGCTTTTCAGGTCTTGCGTTTGAGTATTGTTTCTAATCTCAATTTTTTTGCTATGTTTTTAAAGAAAGCTACCTTGACTTTTATTCTTATGTAACTGTTTTCCTTTACTTAGAGACATGCTTTCATTCTTCAGCGAGTGGTTTCATTAAAAGTCGAATTGAACTGAAATTGAAATTGTCTTCTTTCTGTGTTCGAAATGTTTATTGAACGAAGTAAGAAAGGCTGATAGAGCCTGCGAGCAAGCTGTTTATTTGGAAATCGAGGGAGACGAAGGATTAATGCGCACTTGATGGCCGTGAATTTAGGGAAGGACCTGCTCGCGGACTGGCAAAGGCTGATAATTGATATACATGAATTTATTGACTTGATTGAATTGGTGACATCATTACCAGAAGTCCAGAAATAGTCAGGGAAAAATCGAGGTCTCGGAAAAACTCACCGATTTTTTTGTTTCTAGTCCAGGGAAATTGAAATTACAATACCATAGCCTGCGTAGCAGGCGTCGAAATGGGTAGGAGATTGGGAGGAAGGGAAAAAGGGAGGGGGTTTGGGGAGAGAGGGTAAGATTTTTTTTTCCCTTTCGCGCTTTTCTCCCATCTTCCGCCCCTAATATGGCGCCTGCCACGCAGTCTATAATACCATCGACGGCTGGAGGAAGCATTTAAGGTCATCATGATCTAACAGATGAGTTTTGTTAATATTGAATACGAGCTATCACTTCCAATCTTCCGAGCTCGGCAAGTTAAAACGTCGCAAAAAGGAGAGGACGGCTGTCAAGATGTTGCTACTGAATCTACATAATAGTCTTATTTGGTCAGGGTGTTCTTCGCCTCAATTCTATAATTTTTAGGGTAAGAGACTGTGCAATAGTTATCAGGAGAACAAGGGGTTAATTTTTATAACGAAAAAGTAACTGAGGTGCTGTACCCTTCCTCTGTTTAAAGTAGAAGGAAGTGTCAGGTGACCTTCAGGACACATGAACCTTAGCACAAGTTAAGATTGTGCGAATAGCGGCAAACGAGGATTCTTCCTGCCTTCTCCACCGAGAAGGCGATACGCAATCGGACTGTTCTCAAATGGTCGGCTTTTAGTGAAAACTATCTCTAAAAACGAGTTAGACAACTTCCCATTCATATTGAAAGACCAGAGATGTGCCTCATCAAATTAAGTTGTGGCGGTCAGAGAAAGGTCCGGTCCACAGGATTTCGTGAAGATTCTGAAAACGACAGTCTTAACACACCATTAATCCTCGAGGAAAAAAGCGAATTAGTCGAAGGCAAGGAGAATGGTGGTATGCAAAATAAGATGAACATGTAAACTTTAAAGACAGTGAAAGGGGTGGGGGGGGGGGGGGGAAAAGGGGATGAGAAAACCTTTTCTTCGGAATAAAAAAACTGAAAAAGATTTTTACCCGACAATAAAAGATTTTTATTTTTTATAAGAAAGACGACCAAATAAGATTGTTTTATAAATTATAGGTCAACTGCCTTTAGGGAGGTGGAGGGAAAGAAGAATAGAACGAGAAAGAGAATAGAAAAAAAAAAATAAAAAAAAAAGACAACAAACAAATAAAAAAAAAAAGAAAAAGAAAAGGAAGGGGGAAGGAAAGAGGAAAGGGGGAAAAAGAAAAAAGAGAGGAGGAGGAAAGAGGGGGGGGGGGGGGGGGGGGGGGGGGGGGGGGGGAATAGGGGATGAGGAAACCTTTCCTTTCGAATAAGAAAACTTGAAAAGATTTTTACTCGTCAATAAAAGATTGTTAGTTTTTATAAGGAAGACGAGCAAATTAAGTTGTCTTTGACAATCGAGGTTAACTGGCTGTGTAAACGGGGTTAATACAGTCGAACCTTCTAAAACGGCTACCTTGGTTATCTTGGCTGGGCACAGGCTAAATGGCCTTCGTAGGGCGGTGGCCCTGATGGGAAGGTGCGAGTGTAAATGTCGTCTGTCTGATGTGACACCGACTGTTAGGAACAAAAACGTAACAAAACAAAGAAATTAAGGCGCAGCCAGTACATCGATATCAGTTGGCACATCCTTGTAGTCGTTGTGCAGAAGAGAAGAAAAAGTTTCGCAGACTTCGGTCTTCATCGGTAAAACGAGACGCAGTAAAACTTAAGTTAATCACCGGTATAATCTTCACTTAAAAACCGTCCAGTTTCTGTAACGAAAAACACCACAATTTAAACGAAAGCAGTGGAGAGTCATTGAGAATGGTTACAAGTGCCACCTGCGTTTTATTTCCCATAGTGCGCAAAATCATCCGGACAAAATCGTTTGCTGGGGAAAATCACAGGTATGCTGCGCTTTTTACGGAATCTAGACGTAACTTTCTAGCACGGTCGTCATTAAAATCCTTCATTTGGGAGCGAACTTGATCAAAGTGGAAGCCAGCAGGATGTCCGAAAGCAGAAAGAACTCAGTCTAGTCCCTAGGCGTTCTCTCTTGACCCGTTGTCCGCGCGAAGTCTGGGAAGGTAGAGTCCAGGATTGACCGATCCGAGAACGCCTCGGGACAAGGTTGGAAAGAACAGAGTGGACTGCCAGCATGAACTTGTTGTAAACTGGTCACTCCTGCCAGGACCAGGGAAAGACAGAAAGTGTGCGTTCAACTTAGAAAAAATCTTTCTCCGCATGATAGTCTTTTTTGCAAGAGTTCTTGTTTTCAGTTTCTAGTATCACTCATTATCTTTGTAGGTAGATTTTTTTTACAATCTCCAACAACGACGCGACGTATTTCACTTTTACCATGTAATGGTAAATAATTTCGTCACTGATGATCCTATACGCGTTATAATAACGGTACTGTGTATCCACTCACTTGAAAAGTAAAACACCACATGCTGAAGACAGAGCGTTTTCGCAAGACGTCACGGCGGCCATATTGGTGTTCGAAAACAATGAAACGGCAGCCATTGGTGTAGGGTACCAAACCAATCTTGTGGCAGTTGAAGTCTTGTTTTAAGTCTATCTGTCTATTTCGGGCGCACCCGCACCGATTTGATAAGTCTGTTCCACTCCAGTCTTTTAGCCATGACGGATGGAAGATCCTGCCTCTTAAGAAGACTGGTATCACTCTCTTTCTCATGTAAACACTTTTTTCTGTTCCAAAAAATCTGCAGCGTGAAAACGTACTGTAATCCTTTCCCACATGAGACTCTTTCTGCGCACATTCGAGTGACTGCTTTTTCTACTCTCATACCTCGCACTATAGTTAACGAACTAGAAGTGCTGGGAAGAAAAAGCTAGCCTCGACACTGTTGCACCTTTTTTGTGCCTTAGTTCATTCCTTTTTTATTTCTGGTCCTGCCATACTAGTAATACATTTTAAGCCTTCAATTTTATAACCAAATTTTAACCTTTTCCATCTCCGACGACACACTGTGGTGCCAAGCACAGTGCCTAAAAATAGTTCATTTCGTTGGCACCAATCTAATGTATTTTCAGCTTGTAAGAAAACACCTAACAGCTATTTTCTATTTATCAAGGTGAAAGCTTCAAGTTTTCACGGTATTTTTGGGAGCTTAGTGGCGATACATTTAAATATTATTTACAAGAGTATTCGACTTTGAACATTTGATGAAAATTGATATTAAAAGAATCATATTTTCTACACCGATTGTTACAAAATATCGTGAAACGCCTATTACCCCTCAAAGAATATTTCAGCCTATATATTACAAATATTTGAGGAATTTAAAAGCTCGCCCCGAGTGTAGTGTGACTTATATATACAATACATACACGTACGAAATTCATTTTACTACAAAGCAAAGAGCATAACTAGGAGAAGCCACTTCTTAGGACCTTTTAAAATGCATGACCAAGATCTGCAAGGTTGAGCATTTAGTTTTTTTAAGTCTTTTAAAATAAATTTTAAAGACAAGGCTTCTGGAAAGCCAGTTCTCTTAGTTAGGAACTCTCAATTCTTCCTCCAAAAGTGAGAACTTGAGCTCTACAAATTTCCAACGGCAGTAAGCGAGGGCGTAAGCGAGGGCGTAAGCGAGGGCGTAAACGAGCGAAGACTGCGGACTCCCCAGTCGCTCATTTTTTATTGCATTCAATTCTTCTCTTTACCTGTCGACGCAGCTGGATAAAAGGAACTGTCCACGACTGAATTTTTAACGACCTTATTAGCGTTCTCAAAAACTCACTTGTTGGAGGGAAAAACAATTTTTAACTCGACGCCCTTATAATTTATATTTACGACTGACAATTACACACTGACGAAGAATTAGCGTGGTTTGAAGAAGTTAAAGATGACAGCAGTCCGGCTGCTGAATTAGTGTTCGAGAAGTGATTCATACAAGAATTAAACTGCATTGGGTTGGAACAGCGAAAAGCCAGTTTTCTCACAAGCGTTGGTTTTGTGCTTGTTAGGGAGTCTTGGTCCGGAGTTTTATCGCTTTCTTGAGCGGAATCCGTAGATTCTTTCGCTTCCCCCTCTGTTGTATCACCTTCACTATCGGGGGTGTCGAGTCTTGATTTTTTCGCTGGTGGTTCGACCTGAGGTGCTTCATCGAAGAACACTACAATAACACTTGTATTGTCTGCTCTTAATTCCCGTTCTCTCCATTTTGCCAATGCTCGATAAACTAATCTGTTGGTAAAGTAAAAGAATATAAGACACTAAATTATAAACTCCAAAAAGCTTCAGACGGTGCTTGGTAGCCAATGATAGGCAAGGGTGAGAGCTTGACCAAAGTTGGGGGGGGGGGGAGAAAAAGGGGAGCGGAACCCTCTCCTTCTCATCTCCTTGCGTTTTCGCGTCTTTAGTCTGCCCCAACAGCTTACCCTCACCGGAAATATTATTATTTCCGGTGAGGGTAAGCTGTTGGGGCAAATTGAAGACGCGAAAACGCAAGAAGATGGGAAGGTTTTGCCCCCTCACCGGAACGCATGTCCATTGGCTAGAAAAAATTCTGGTACCTGATTATTCTGATCAAAGATGTCTAAGATCCAAAATTACGAATATAGGGAAAGTGGGAGTGTACGTTGGTCACTATTTTAAGTCAAAAGTACAGCCGTTTCGCAAATTGAAATACTTCGACAGCCAATTAGTCGACGTACAACTATTTTGCATTAATTTTTAGATAAGCCTCTGCCCCTATCCCAGATCGCGCGGGTCTTATTTTCACTTGGCTTGTTTTATTTTGCTGGTGTCCCTACTATCTGAAAACCTGGCACAAGCTACTTCAGCAGCTGCCCATCAGCTATCTCGCGCTTTGGTCAAATGATCAAAACTTTCAACAACACTGAACAAGTTTAAACATGCTCAAAGCGAAAACGATCCTACCACGTGACCAAAAACCTATCACGTAGCCTGCGGACAGGCCCGCTAAAGAGAGTTCGTGGAAAATTTTGCCGGCGAGAAGAATACAGTAAGGAAAAGTGACTCTTCCTCGCCCACTGGCGGGCTCGCCGCCAAAATTTTCCCCGAACTCCCTCGAGTGAGCCTGCTCGCATGCTACCTAACTCCAATGACCCGCTCTTTATATCGTGGATTCAGTAGTTTATACGCCCAAATGTAGTGATAAAAGAATAGACTGCGTCGTTATGTGGGCCAACAGAACGAAAGAGACCCTCACTGATCCTACCTGTGTGACACGTCCCCCATTTTGCATATATCGTCCTGGTCGTAATTATGAACAAATTTGACTGCCTCATCTACTTTCATCACCCCCCACAGTCCATCAGATGCTATGATCAGAAACTTGTCCACTCCAGGTGTCAGTTTGTGGACCCGAACGTCAGGGACTGGGGAGACAATGAATTCACTGCGATAATAATTGAAACTCCACAGATCACCTGCATTATAAATAAATACGTTCAATGTTATTAGTTTTGTTAACAGCAATCTGTTCTTGCGCTTATCGCCACAGCAAGAAGAATTTGGGATTTTCAACTGAGTCGATAAAAGTTAACTGGCCATCGTAAACACACGGGATGTCAAGTCTTGTGTTTCACTTCCTCGTCGATGCGGAACTGGCCACAGTTTCTGTTTAGAGAAGACCAAGTATATTTATATTAGCCTGCGAGCAGGCTCTCTGAAGAGCTCCCAACAACGGACTAAGCTTCGGGTTCATATTGGTTTATTGCTGTCTTTGTTTAAATTGTTCCATATTTTCACATAACCATAGAGTTTCTGCACTGCCGAGGGAAGAAATATGAACCACCTCAGAATAAAAGCGGTCTGGCCGTAAATCTACCGCGCTAATTTGGAACTCATCATTTGATTGACGAACTGACAGACTAATTGATCGACCACTACTAGCCAAATTTGCGAGGGGGGAATTTGAGTCCCTAAAAAAATCTGTGAAAAATGAGAGTTCAAGATTTCCGTGGCAACGAATATATTGGATCATCAAGTAGAAAAAAAGAGTAGTTTTCCGAGACTCCTATATATTTCAAAGGTCTTTATTCGTCAAAAATAGTACTTCATTTGTCCCACGTACCAAGCGCTCTTGAAACAGCTAAGAATGGCACCGATTCCCGTTGTGTGCTTCTTCGAACTGGTCCCTTATGGCCATGATGGACGGGTCTCTCCCACGCCACACGTGGTACACCGTTCCGGGAGAGAACCTGACCACCAACTGACTCTATCCGACTCTTTTCTGAAGGAACGTCAGGTTTATGATCGGCCGTAAGGCGTACGGCTTGGAGTTTTTTCTCCTGATTTAACCTTCCAAGGGCTGCGCCTGAATCGCCCACGTGGGCTATGTACAGCGTTCTACCCTTTAAAATTACAACAGTTGCTGTTGTACCCGATGTACTCGGAAGGCCGTGTCTTGTTCGTGGCCAGGAATCTACGAATGGAACAGTTAAATTCAGTTACAAAATAATAAATAAAGATGTTTCATCACCACATTGTCGCATTAAAAATGAATCATAATGCATTCAAAATATGCAGAAACATACAGAAACGTCTTCGCGGGAGCCTGGACTAGAAAACGTTATCCTTGATTAAACAATCCTCTTTCTTAAGGTAAAATACCGCAAATGATCTAATACACGCCCTGACTTTTATTTAATTTTAGGGCTCCAAGTAGCCTGCATAACAGACGCTTTATGAGCCACGCGAGGTAAACGCGGCGTCTCTCGCGCTTCGCGATCGTTTCGTGATCGTTTCGTTTCCGCGCAAAGTGCCGCGTTCGCCTCGCTTGCCTCATACAGCGTCTGTTATGCAGGCTAGGGTCCAAGAGAGAGAGGGCGTTCAATAGAAAAGTGGCGTTTATTTCCAATTTTATATCAACCTCTTCAAAACTGATATGCTTTAGGCGAGTTTAAAAACAGCGGAATATTCATTGCATCAGTTGATATCCGTGTCGCTCTTTCAAATCTCAACTTCGATGTGAGAACCCTCGTTCAGGGTCATTGTGTTGTTCCTTGCTAGCAGAGGTCTCGCACGACGAGGCCTCGTCCTAAGAGACCTCTGCTAACAGGGAAATTGTGTTGTCATCGTTTATAGTCTATCCTTACTTTAAACTTGAAATTAAACAAGATGCAATGCACAAAACTTTGTATATTCTAATCAAAGAGAAAACTGAATAACTTGAATGATTTTGCTCCATTTTGCTAAACCCTGGTATATTTTGGAGTGACTGTCATATGGGGTGTCTGAGGGGCGTCTAATACAGGGGGCGTTTATTAGACAAGAGGCGTTTATTTGAGAGAGGGCGTCAATTAGATCATTGACGGTATTGTGAAAAGAAACATAAGCCTGGACCTCCTTATATACGCATTTATCGAGTCAGGTTTTCAGGTTTTTGTTCCCTTTTTTCCTCGGACCAGCCTGTGTCCCAGAGATTGCATGACTCGCATATCTGTCGTTCACTTGCATTTCATTTGGAAAGTATTGCAGTGAAACGAGAAATTTGTGCGAAGTCAGGAGGCTCCTAACGAAGTATACAATTCCTCGATGTGCATCAATAATTTTTCTCGTGGTGTAGTGATATGTTTGTTGTTCAAATATTTAATCTGATATCGTTACACAAACATCGCCGGGGGTTGTTATGAGTGTGACATTTCAGAGTGATATGTCAGTGCTTTTTGTCACACCCATACCGTAGACAAGTTGGATCGCGCCTTCGACTATAAAGACGGGGAAATTAGTATTTTAAAAAACTACAGTTCCGACATAAAATAGAAAGATAAAAATGAAAAAAGCATCGAGATTCCATTCTCTATCCAGAGTCTTGAAGATACAGCTGTACCATGCAAGTGGATCACAATTCAAGAAACCTGGTTTGTTATACCATTTTTGAACAATTTATTCCTGAGTTCTACAAGAAAAAAACAACATTTCACTAGCTTCAGCTTGTGACCACTCCGATCGACTTGAACTCACTCCTGTCACATCTTATTCTAGCGTGACAGGAAACAATTATTTGATTGACAGGTGCTAACAGGGCCCTCAGCACCCTGCAGAGAGACAGGTTCTAAAAACAAAAGATTGATTACCAACATCCGGTCTAAGTTCGGACCAAGCGGTTGTATTTTCGATTTTTGAATTTTTTCCTTCACTGGCCTAAACCACAAAATTAAAACAGCCCGTTCTCGGCTTTTAAAAAAATTACTGAATTTCCAAGAGTCATTGTGACGCAATAGACAATTTAATTAGGTTCAAAACATTTTTAGTAAATTTCTTCGTTGTAGTGATCCATCACGCGTAAAAACGATTAAGGAAACGACATATTTTACACCTTTTACAGGCGAAAAAACATTCGCTGTAAAAATGCTTTTTACTTTATTTCGGCAGGAAAGAGCAATTTTTTTTTACATGGCTTTCATACTACAAACAAGCATGGGTGTTTTGCATATGAAAAGCTTTGAAAGACAACAGGATATATTCATGCACGAGTCGCTTTTCAACGTCACGAATAATTCCAAACAACAATTTTGGCGGGATATATACAAACTGCCAAAGATATCTCTTAATTTTCTATACGATCCAAGGAAAAGCGACAAATGACATGCCCCAAATCGAATCATGAAGTGTATCTTTTTTAGCCATACCACAAGTTTCAGTATCCAACGCGAAATGACACGAAAGGGAAACTAACTTACCGAGGTGCTTCCACATTTCTCGGTGCGTAGCCACAAACCCATCCTTTATTGCCTTGGTGACTCGCGATGTTTCGCCAGAGTAGAACCCTTTTTGTTGCTTTATTCTGTCCCATAGATGATTCCTGGCGAAATCGGCGGCGTCTCCTCCACCGTGGCCATCAAAGATAGCGAAGAAAGCTTGCTCCGGATTACGGTCAAAAACTACGCGTTTAAAATCTTCCATTTCTTTTCGACCTCCCTGGTTGGCTTGGCCATTCACACGGATCATAATTTTTCGGTGTTTCGTCTTCTTCGACATTTTGATCGTTTTCTCCAGCGATCGAGCTTCGCGCCTGACTATTTATTAGATGCACAAGTTTTGCTAGGAATTTGTAATTGTCCCGCTCTCATGAATTATGCTCGAGTAAGCAGCTGATGATTAATATTCAATTGTCCTTTGAATTCGGCCAATCGCTGCGCAGTTTAACCAAACGATAAATATTACATTACCGATAACAGCCAATGATATGCGTGTCGCCAACATGGTGCTAAACAGTGAAGTTGACTCAAGTTCAAACTTGCCCGACTACGCTAAACTCGCGTGTGTCGTTTGTGATGTCCTTGGTGATGTCATAATCTCCTGTTCTTAAGCACCCAAACAGCATTGTACTACAAGTTTAAACTTGCTCAAACATTTTTGCCTTTGAAATAATTCATTGAAAATCCTGTCTGGGAATACGTCAAGGTTTGTGTATTACGTACAAAAAGAGATCATATATTACCGGTATGATCTCTTGGTACAAAGGAGAAATAGCGAAATCCAATTTGTAGTATTTGATAAATTCTGCCATATAGGTATATTGTTTTTACACGTAATTGCGTTTTCCTATATGATTTTTTTTTATTTTTCCTCATGCTTTGTTTGAACAAATAAGCTTCAATATAATACTGTAGTCAACAAAAGAGAAAATTTCGCTTCGTTGTGTTAGTGGATTTTTTCATGTTGTCAGAAGTACAAAGTACAATTTCATGTTCTGGGTCCAGTTTGTCAGCCAAGTGATGCGCGATTCAAGCTTCAGCAGACCGTCACTGTTGGTTGCCTGCGGAAGAGGCTAGCGCGATTCTTATTTAACCTAAACGGGTAATATGTGCCGCTGAACACGAGGCCTCAACAGTTTTAAAATTTGACTACACGTCTTGAACAAGGGTATCTTTTTGGACGGAAGCCTTTAAAAGAATATTGAAGGTTTGCAGTGAGTGGCCTGTGACTGTTCTTTGGTACCATCATTTTTTTCTTTCACAAAACTTTTCAAAACCTGTCTTAACAGTGTCAGGGTTTGAAGGCCTCGGAGGCACAACTCGACCCAAACTTCTCTTGAGTGCTCCCCGGGCGTGCGATCAGGCGCTCATAAACTTTTCTGATAAAGTGAAGACCTATTACACGAAAATCTGACGGGGAAAAAGCGACTCCCGCGAGGCTGGCGAAACCATTTTACTGGATGTTACTAAAAATGAGGAAGGGGGAGCTGAGCGGTTGCCAAGAATTTGCCTATTTGCCTGATTAAACCGCCCTGATTGTCAATCGTACGGGTAGTTAATACAGCTGCGGGGAACGAAAAATATTACTCAGCTGATGTAGCCGGGTCCTTCCCAGGGAAAAAACTAGTCGTGAGACGAAACATGACGAATAACAACAATTTCAAAAGCACATGACCGTAAACCAAACTATCAAAACTGTCCTTAAAGTATTTACACAGAGGCGGTGGGAGGAGTTTGTGATATAGGGGGCCTAGAGATATGATACAGTATACAGTGGCAATATGGACGCGATAGCGCCTATCAGGACTGCGAACGGCGCATTTTTTTAGAGAGTTTCGGGCGCATGCTCCTCCGGAAAAATTTTGGAGAGGGAAGTTCTCTGAGATGCAATTTAGCAAATGCCCCTATGCTGAAATATTTGATAAACAACAAAAGAGGGGGCGGAACCCCCTGGGCCTACCCCTAAATCCGCCCTTACTATATATAGGATCGATTTTTGCCAGAGAGCTGTCAGAACTGCCCCTGGGTATCCGCATATAGTTTTATCCTTACCACGTCCTAAGGGGTGGACCTCCAGGCGATCCCAGAAAATATTGGAGTGATTTCTATCATTTCTCGCCTTAGCATATTTAGGATTCTGGTATTAAAATTAACTTAATTTTAGAAAAAATAAATCTGTTGAAGGCAAAGGCTTGTTTCAGCTGTTGTTTGGAAAGCAAGTATACGGAGATGTTATAAACCACTTTACAGTTTTTTAAAGGCTGGAAATCAAAATCAACCTGTGGTCAGGTTCTGTTTTGGTTTCCCATTATTGGTTGTCAAATGACAAAAAAGACATTTGTAATGATTGAGTGACCTTATATTAACTCCAGAAGTTAAACATGACTTGTAACACCTTTTGTGATTTGTTGTTATTTTGCATTTTGTGACTGGTTTGCAACGAGGGTGATTGCGATAACTGCCCTGAAAACAACGTTTTCTTCGTACTATTATCATGTTTGCCGATATAAACGAGATTCACCTAGGCTAGGGGACCGAAGGAATTCATTTTGAACGTTCACTTGTTAGTTGCAGAAAAATGAATGGCCTTGTCACCCCCGAAGGTCGTGACTGGTGCTATGTGACGAAACGCGACTGTCACGTTGTCACGCCAGTCGTATACATTTGTTCCCAGTCATTCTCGTTCTATGTCATAGACAACAGAATTCCTCATCAAACACACAATGTTCCTTCGACGGGCATATGGACGGCTATCCGCCACTACTTTTCGTCGGATTACAGGTAAATACAGAAAAAAACTTATATAAAATCTTATACTAATAAGTTTTGTGAAGAAAACGACCAACCCACGTGAAGGATTGGTCGATCGATCGTCCTCTTTGTTCCCTCGCTTGAGTAATCGGAACCACGAGCAAGACCATAAAATCAACTTTACTTCAAGCCGTTACATAGGAGCTTATTCGCAGAGAACCCAACCATTTGGTAGCCTTTACATAAAACAGTGATATAGAGTATTTGCATTGAGCTGGTGGAGTGCACCTCCCCAGCTGTTAAACTCACGTACACTGACAGTGTGACCATGCGCCACTCGGACGTTCTAAGTAAAATAGCAAGTTACGAAATTAACGGGAAGTAAACCTGCTTTTATTTCACGATTCAACCACTTTTTGATGTCTTTTTGATGTGCTCTTTTAGAGCAGAAGATGACATGTGTTTCACTCACTGGAAAACAGAAGATGGCGGGGGGGGGATGTACGTTGTTGTGTTACTCGTTGGGAAGGGGCGGGGGAGGAGGGAGTGTTGGCTTCTGTAACACCAAGCTATGAAAAGGAGAGGGAAGCCAAATGTATAACTGTTTGGTTATATCGCGATTTGTAAATAGGCAGTTTACAAAAGTGATTGTGATGACAAAGTTTGGGGATTTCCCTAAATTGATCTTTTTAAATAGTGTTTATGAGCCTGAGGGCTAATTATCACGCCATTTGAATCAGTCATCCACATACTCCCTTTTATGTATCTTAAAAATGATTTTTTCTCAACTGAGGGAAAGAGCCCTAAGGGGTTTTCTGAAATTAACTGTAGTTTCAAAAAGTTGTTAATGGCAACAAAAGGTTTAGTTAAGAACTTGTTTGTATTTTGTGCCAGTTTGTTTTGTTCTAATTTCCTCCTATTTTTTTGTAAAACAAACTTTGTTAGGTTTCTAATTAAAGTCATCTTAGCGTGACAAGTTGCTTGCTTCTGAGATGTGTGCTTTCTCTGAGGGAAAAGCTTACATTTTTAATGTTCTGTAAAAATCTTTTAATCTGACACATGAGGGGTTTAGCATTATGAAATTATTTAAATTGGATATTATGTAAACATTAAACAGGTTAAGTTACATCTAAATTTTTTTATGTCATTTTGGCTGCTATTGGAGACTAATTTTGGCAGATTTTTTTTTTGGGTGTTTCCAAGACTTCTTTTTTTTAATACTCCTACCACTGCTGTTGCTACTATTTACTACTACTACTACTACTACTACTACTACTACTACCACTACCACTACCACTACCACTACCACTACCACTACCACTACCACTACCACTACCACTACCACTACCACTACCACTACCACTACCACTACTACTACTACTGCCACAGTGTTTTAAATGGAGCATTTTTAAATGGGCTTACGTTTGCAGAATTATTCTTTTTATTCATTTTTTTTCTTTAACTTTCTTTAACAAGTGGCAAGGATGTCTGTAAAACTTTGTTTGCCTCTTCCCTCTTACAAAGTGTCATGTTAAAAATTGGCCCATTAATGTTGTTTCAGAGAAAATGGGTGAAAGGCTTACTTCAACGCAAGCCACCAAAGAGAAGGTAATTTAACAGAAAAAGGAAACTAATGTGGAAGTGCTTATTAAAACTACTGTTCCACAGCAAAACCTCAGCTAGAAAGCTAAAAAACACAGGTATAGGTAGTGATTGATCAAAAGAAGGGCCGGAACATCTTTCTTTGGTTTGACAGTAAAACATAATTATGTTACTCTTTAAGTCTGATCAATAACAAATGCGCAGTTTACATGCCCAGGTTAAATCGTTCTGTTTTTGACAGTAATGTAGTAGTTAAGTCCGATTTCCAGACATTTTGCTTGACCACATTCCTGTCTGGAGAAGAATACAAACCAGACCCCCAAAAAGGAAGGAAAATCTAGCATGGATGTTAGAAGATAACAGCAATCAAACTAATAGACAATAATCTTTATTAAGTAAGTAAGTAAGTAAGTAAGTAAGTAAGTAAGTAAGTAAGTAAGTAAGTAAGTAAGTAAGTAAGAACTTTATTATTGTGTCAAGGTTGCTTTGGAACACCTACTTGTCTAATAGTCAATAAAATAATCTAATAATCAATAAAATATGAAATGTATATCAGGTTTGGACCAAAGGACAGGGCCTTGGTAGGTCAGGCTATGTTTGCCATAAGCAACAGTCTGAAATCTAGTTATGACGAAATCATGATAATTGTTGAAGATGATAATGAGAACTGGTAACAACACCCTTGGTTGTATTTAAAATAGCACATGGGCTAGTGGGTCAACACAACAATATGATAATTTAAACGAAAATATTAGGTAACAAATCCCAACTGGCAGGAGGAAAACCAGCTGGTTATCTACAAGCGTGGTGAAGCAGTTAGTCCTGGAACTTCTGAGAAACAATCACAGTAGTAGTTGGTGGGGTATTTGAACCTCAGACATCTGGTTTGCAAGTCCATTTTACCTACTAATCAACCAATTTGAGACTTTTTATAAACTTTTTCTTGTTCTAATAAATACATTATTTCAGTAGATAGTTTACCTGAAAAATTGAGAAGTTTGTTGCAGTGATATTTTATATTTTTCCAGAAAACCTCTCAGCTCAAGAAAATGATACAATCCCCTGATGTTGAATTCATTATGGAGGCACATAATGGACTAAGTGCAAAAATAGTGCAAGAGGCTGGTAAGTATATGACATTCTTTGTCAATCAGGAAGTAACTCATTTAAGGTATTTCTTAAATATCTTAAATTCTACCCCGAGTATCTGGCTTTCTTTTCTTGGGGAATTACGAGGAAGCAAGAAAAGAAAGCCCTCCCCTCTTGCTCTCCCTCTGTCTCTCTCTGCAAGGAGGGCCTGATACTCAGGTTACATAAATTCCTGAAGAAATGCCCCAAAAATTACTCGATTCCCTTCCCCCCGTAAATAACATAACACTTATGTTATTGGCAGTGCGAGGGTGGATGGTAGCTCTAACCCCCTAACCTCTTAATCTAATCAACAGTAACACTGCTTTTTGCCAAGTTAGTAATGAATCATTAATTATATTTTAGTTTATCCTAGGTAAGTAGTTCATTATGAAGAACATGTCTGGCAGAGTGATTACTAGAAAATGCATAGATTCAGCCAGGAACACAACAGTGTAACATATACTGGGTTTAATGAATATTATCAAACATAACCTACATGAATAAATCACTGAAAGGAACTCTTCTGGAGCCTCAGGTTTATCATTTCCCAATACTGATATTATTTTTTAGGGTTTAAGGGTATCTGGGGTAGCGGTTTATCCATATCTGCTCAGCTTGGTGTGCGTGACAGTAATGAAGCATCATGGACTCAAGTTATGGAGGTCATGGAATTCATGAGTGATGCTACAGACATCCCAATCTTATTGGATGCTGACACTGGCTATGGAAACTTCAACAATGCTCGTCGTTTGGTGACAAAGCTTGAACAAAGAGGTGTTGCAGGGGCTTGTATTGAGGATAAATTGTTCCCCAAGACTAACTCTTTGTTGGATGGCAGAGCACAGCCTCTTGCTGATATTGATGAGTTCTGTGCAAAGATTAGAGCATGCAAAGGTACAGTAATAATGTTATTTGTGGTGATGCAATTTTATTATTTTGTTTGCACATATACTTAAAGGCTAGTATAGAACATTTGTTAAAAAAATTCATTTATAACTGTACAAAGTGGCAACTTTTAATTTCTCTACCGCATACTTTAGACTTGTTTCACTCAGCCCATCTTTTAGGGAATTTACACATGCAGCAAAAAAGGCAGTGGAAAAATTTTTAAAGGAAGCAAGTGTTTTAATTTATTATAGGAATACTCAGCAACTGATTTGTAATTTCCTACAATAACTAGAGTTCAATAAGCCTTTAGTAGTCATAAAGATGTTTGTTACTTGTCAAGTGCTTTATTTCAGACTACATATATACCCAGCTTTTTGATAAGTCTAAAGTTATTAAAGTAACAAGCCATTTTTTTCTGCAGATACACAATCAGATCCAGATTTTTGCATTGTTGCCAGAGTGGAGGCATTCATTGCTGGATGGGGTCTGGAAGAAGCCCTGAAACGATCTGAGGCTTATCTCAATGCTGGAGCTGATGCTATCTTAATGCACAGCAAGAAATCTGACCCTTCAGACATTGAGTCATTTGTTAAAGCTTGGAACAACCAGGTAAGAAGTTTACCTTTGTGATTTGTTTTGTTTGACCACAAACTGGCACAACTGACAGCACCATCAACCCATTGTTTGTTGAGAGACATTTTACAGACGTCAATTTAAAAGTGAAGTCTTAAGTAAAGAATGGATATAATCTTGTCAACAAGTCATCGCAAAGGATGACTTGGCAGGAGGAAAAAAAATATATTATGAGAATGAATAATTCATTATTATTGTGTTAATGATGTTAAACTATTTTTAATATTTATTATCATTATTGTTGACAGGGTCCAGTTGTAATAGTTCCTACCAAGTATTACACGGTGCCAACAGACATATTTAGGGAATGGGGTATATCACTGGTGATCTGGGCCAATCACAACCTGAGAGCATCAGTAACTGCAATGCAAGATGTTACCCAGCAAATATACAAAGATCAGTCATTAGTTAATGTGGAAAAGAAGGTACAAAGATTTGTTTGACTGTTGGAGCATGTGTATTCAAGACAAATGAATAAGAGTACATGCCTCAGAGTGCCAATAAATGTTTGCTCCAGTCTAGGTTTCTAGTAAATCCTCTGTTCAATCAATTTTAAACTTCCCATTAGCACTTCAGTAATAGGAGAAATTTAGCACTGTGTCTACTCACTCACCATTTAAATTTGTTTTTCAGGTTGCACCAGTTAAGGAGGTCTTCCGTTTGCAAAGAGATGATGAATTAAAAGAGGCAGAAAAGAAATACCTTCCTGAGAAATAATATTTTTACTCAATTTAAATTTAATAGTCTTTCACAACTGATAATGAATGATTGAATCAAGTTACATTTAAACAATTTGTGTGCTCCTTTTTTGATGAAATGAGATAATATTATTGCGCTGTTTAAATTAATTTTTACTTGTTTTTTTTTTTTCCTCAACATTTTTTCATTTTTTCTCGGTTGTCTGTATGTGTTGTCACAGGAGATGGAAAAGTGAGCCATCAGTATCAGTGTAATCATAAATCATTTATTGACCCTTCATAAATAAAACAGTTCCTTCCAACTGAGTCATTTTCATCCTGAGACAGATATTTAAGCCAAAAAACCAGGCATTGAAATAAAAATAATAAACCCAAACAAATAAGGACCATAATAATGAAATATAGTTTTCTGATACTGACAGTTTCTGATGGTTTATGACTGAGGGTTACGTTTCATTTGTTTGTAAAAAAAAGTAAATGAGCAAATTTGTTAAATAATTGATCAAGCACTGTGCTCGCAGATACAGTGCTCGTAATTGAGCTGATAAATTAGGGCAAAATTAAAATATGGACTATCAGCTTAACCTAAGTGTGGATTGACCAGTGCAATTCTCTATATTACTTGGGAGTCCTGTGCATGGGAAATCCAAGTGATTCTTTGTCATTTGGAATCAAACCTGCATCAAAAATGACAGGTTCAACAATAGGGAAGCAATGTTCCATTTAAAAGCGGGATTAAACCAAGAGATAGCAAACCTGCTACAGCCCTCAAAATCTCTCATTATACACTCTGTTTGCCAACCCCCCCACCCCCCTCCAAAACAATGCATAACTTATTTATTCAAATTCTATAAGGAATATACAGCTCTTTCCCTGGAGTATTTAAAAGTATTTCAATAAAGTTAATGGACCGGTCATTATTTATGTAGAGGTGGGGGTGGGGGTTGGGAGGAGAGGAAAAAATATGTTGGGAAGATCAAAAATTCTGTAAGGCCCCCCCTGCAGACCATGTAAATAGCAAGTGAGCCCCCTTATTTATTCAAAATTTACGTGATGACCCCCCCCCCCCACCTTATATCTCCTCTTATATGCTCTACAAAGTAATGCATGTAACAATACTCTGTTGTTAAAGAGTGAAGACTTAATTGGTAAATAAACATACTTTGCACAACAATGGAACTAACCTACTCTATTACAAAATCAGCATGTAAATATAGGAAAATTGGTAGATTTTTACAAATCGTGCCTTCATAGTGAACACAAATGTAATAACCATGCAAAATATAACTCTTTTCAAATGATTTTCCTGCAGTTGTAAAAGGACTACTTTCTTGTTGTTTCATCATGTTTTCCTTGGGATATTTAATTGACACAAGTATTTCGTTAACAGAAAATTCAGTCAAACCAAATATTAAAGCAGATAGGTCTGGATTCTTTATTAGCAAATTAACAATGAAGTTTAGAGTGCAAACAGAATTCTGTCAAATAGAAATGAATAAGTTTTACAAAATAGTGTTGTTTTAAATTAACAAAAAGCAATAGGATTAGCATAAAATTGTACAATTTATCATTACTGTTTCACATATATTGTTTATGCTCCACTATTTAACTGCTTTACCCATCTTGACGAATGGACCCTTGTTAAAATATACCTCGCGATCAACTTCCAGACCCCTCTAAACTTCTTTATAAAAACGTTTAACCCCCCCCCTCCTATAGCCAATCTGAAATAGCCTTGACCCCCCCTTCTTTTTTTTCTCTCCCCCCGCCCCCCTCAACATAGATAATGACCGGTTCCTATTAAATGAGAAGAGGAAGAAGTCAAAGTTCAAGAAAGAGGCTCTTCGCAAAGGTTTGCACCTGACATTTGTAATAATAATTATTGTCAGACAACAGTAAAGCAGGCTATGCTTTAAAGATTAGATAATGCTAATCAGAAACCCGCCAGGCATTTCTGCTAGTTGCCTAGTTTGTGTGCGTGAGAGGTACGAAATTTTGACATCAATTTTTCCCCATTGTGAACTGCAAAATAAAACCTATAGTACAGAGAAGTTCTCAATAACAGAATGTAAACAGTTTTACCTGTTCTTTCCGAGGAAGGTTGGTTCTTATGTGGTTTTAAAGTTGGAAGATGTTTCAAAGTTATTTTCTTCGTGTGAGTCGGACAACTTCTTTAGAAAGGCTGCATACGTCGGAACGTTTTTAGGCGCGAAAACTCCCATGCACCCATGCCTAATTTCCCGCCTTTTTCTCCATGGCGGGAAAATACGCGCGGGAGTGTCCGCGGGAGTGAGGAAGTTTTTTGCCCAGTAGTCTGGGAGCAAATGTGGTCCCGTGTGAAGTTCGTGCTGAAAGCAAGCACCTAGTGTAAAAGTGTTCATTAGGACCTACTAAACATGAAAAGTTTTGGTGCCAGCTTTGCAACTTGCTCAGACGGCTTTTAAGGGGGGTTAAATTCTGACCCATGAAATCCAGCATGGAAACGAGGCTAAAACACATAATTCCTCATAACTTTGTTAATAATAGACGAAAATACACCAAACTTGCTCACATGATTGGACATGATCCTCCCTGTTGATTTATGCTAATTTACATAGGTCACGTGACCTTACGCATGAAAGCGAGGCTGAACACATAATTTTCCATAAATTTGTCAAAAAAAATCCTTATCATGCCAAACTTGCTCACCTTAGTCAGTTAGACATCTTGCATCGATTGGTACCACTTAGTAGTGTCACGTGACCCCATACATGGAAACGAGGCTGGATATATCTGGTAGCATCGTGTAGGATGGCATTTGTCTTGCCAAATGTATTAACAACTACTAGGCAGATACATATCTGGTTATCCGAGTTCAGATATAAAAACTTAAACTAATCATTGTCCTATGGCCCATAACACAGGGACAAGACGGATAAAGCAAATACTGCGGAGGCTCCATTTGAGAATCTATCTTGTACACATAATCAATAATTTTGCCAACTTATGATACTGGTTCCATGTATTCATTTTCGCATGTATATTGGAACAAGGGCAGAAAATGAAAATAGCGACTACTGCTATTTTATATATACAGTCATGAAAGTCTTACTGAATATCTATATACATTGTTCTGTTGTCCATTCCTATGGAATTTCCTGTTCGACTTCGTCTTCATCATACTCATCATCACTCTCAGCATACTCGTTCTGGCAATCTTCAGAGCACAGACAGAGATCAGTACAGACAAGTCCGGCTTTTTGACACTGACAACGGTTGTTAGAGCAACGGGACTTGGCGCACTTGCATCGGACAAGCTGTATAGTTGCCTCTGGAGCTGGTGGAAGATTTGTCATGACTGGTACCCACTTTCCATCTTCATCTTGCCATCCATAGCCTTCTGGTGAGGGCAACACCGGGTTTGCTACATGATCGTTGTTCCAAACAAGAAGCTGGTAGTGCGCTCTCAGTATGGCTTGATGGAGAGCAGCTTGTGTGGGCGGCAACCTCTCAGACTCAGCTTGATTTTTCTTAAAGAGGGACCATCTGAGGGCTTTGACAGTTTTGATGTCTGTCTTTGGTTGGTACATCCGACAAACCAGCTGTTCCACTCCACTTCTTGTGCCGTCATCTGGCTGTTAACCACAACCGAGGTTAGCAAGAGCTTGCAAGATAGGAGTGCTGGCGTTATCAAACTCATCCCAACAAGTGGCTTTTCCCTTTCCAGAGAAACTCCCAGTAACATCAGCTCCGGTCAACGCATGAAATGCTGGCAGCGCAGCCGTCTTAGTGGGCCCAAGGGCGTCTGCGATTGACTTCAAGTTGATAACTCTCAACTACTGCCGGTCCCAGTAACAAAGCAAGAGTTCGAGCACAAATCTGGATACCGTCGGAGAGCCAAAACAAGAACACCAGTGTCAGGAGAATATATAGAGAGTTGGGTAGCACCTTGAGCAGAGGCATCCAGAGCATGTAAAATAATCAACAGCAAAATATACGTGCCGTCCTTTCACGATATCCGGAGGGAGAAACATGCCACCTTCACTCTCTATGCGCTTCAGAACAGTTTTCTCAATTTGTGACTCCACCCTCAACAAGCGATTGTACTCTACAGCCATGCCAAATCCATGGAGGAGATTAACCAGCTCTTTGCTTCGTACTGCTTGGTGTATTGCTAGGTTAACTGCGAGGTGTTGGAGCATTTCTCTAGTGCAGTAGACCGCTTTTGATCTCTTATTGTCAACCTGCCTGTCCGTTAGACACAAAGCTATTGTATTCTGCGCTAATTGCATTGCTCTTTTGTGTACCTCATTGCACTTTTTATCAGATAGTGTCTTATTGGGACCTTGGATTATCCACCTAAAGAAGCAGGTAAGCTCTTCGGGGCAGTGATCATGTGTCATTGTACCCAGAGAGCCAGAGAAGACCCATTTCTCGCTTCGATTAATAGCCTTTCTCAATATTGAAAAGGCATCGAAGAGAGTTTTCATAGATTCATCACTGTCAGCTGTGGATTCTACGATATGGATAGCGGCATCTCTACACTGCTTTACGCTGACCCACTCGGGCTCATTAGCTCTAGTGGGCTTATGGAACTCAACTCCCTTTATCTCTTTCTGGATAAGCTCTTTAACTGAACGTCGACTTAGAGTCTTTGGACTATTGTTCTCGTTTGAAATGGAATCAAAAGCCTGTTCCAACTGTGCCATGTTGAGTATTTCTCCGCTATTGAGGGCAGCTTGGGTAAGGTTCAAAAACTCCAGCTTAGCCGCTGTCTCACTTCTTGACCTTTCCTCGTCATCTTTGATAGTTTTACGCAGGACCCCAGTCACATGCTACGCCCAGCAGCTTTTATGATATTTAATATCAATGGCATGAGCGTCAGTGCTGTCTAGAGCCGTCGAGAGCTTCACGAGCAGTTTAGGATCCTTTGATTGCTTTACTGCATTATCAAGAGAGCTACCAGCAGATGATGTTGACACCAAATGCAGAGGGTTCTGGTACTTCGCTTTCTCTTCACAAAAGAAGCACAGATTGCTGTCATAAGAGACAGTTTTCGACCTTGTAAGAATGTCAAGGATGTCATTAACTTTTCAGCAATTCCAAGATGAAAAACACAATAAAATAAAAAGTTAAAGTTATAAGCCATTACACCTAGCAATTACCTGAAGCGATTCACTTGTCTTTCTTCGAGCTTCATTTGGCCCTCTAACCTCTCTCTGAAACCTCTTTTTTACCCTCTTGATCTTTCCTGAGTGGGTGGTTTCTTGGTAGCACGACCTATGCCATGTTGCTTTTTCTTTAAGCTCTTCTAGTGGTAGATCTTTAAGCACAAGCCACAATGTTTTCGAGTTGATGTCCTCGTACTTTGAACGTTCTTCGATGGCTTCTAAAAGCTTTTGATGGGAAGTTGGATTTTCAACAAGATTGGCTGTACTTTTTTCTTGGCAGATTACACATAGCTTAAAATCTAAAGGGGCATTAGACCGGCCAAAATCCGTCATACTACAAGCACTGTGATGGCTGTAAGTACAACGTGGCGGACACTCAAATAATTACCGCTGACCAATATTTCAGGCTCACAATCACCCAGGCCCCCTAGGTTAAGAATCCACAGGAATTTGTGCGAAATAGGATTGTAGAAATCGCTCATAATAAAGTTATATAAGCCAACCGAAATACATTATCATTACACCTTTTTAGCTTTTATTTTTTTCATTCAAATGCTATACATACAGCATTAATATGCATTACAATGAGTCAACATTATTGTCCTGGATGATGTGTTCACCTTTGGCGTGTTTTGCAATCCAGCCTCATTTCCATGTATGGCTCACGTGACACTACAAAGTGGCACCAATCGATGCAAGATGTCTAACTAGCTGAGGTGAGCAAGTTTGGCATAATAAGGATTTTTTTGGACAAACTTATAGTAAATTATGTGTTTCAGCCTCGCTTTCATGTGTAAGGTCACGTGACCTACGTAAATTAGCATAAATCAACAGGGAGGATCATGCCCAATCATGTGAGCAAGTTTGGTGTATTTTCGTCTGTTATTAACAAAGTTATGAGCAATAATGTGTTTTAGCCTCGTTTTCACGCTGGATTTCATGGGTCAGAATTTAACCCCCCCTTAAAAGCCGTCTGAGCAAGTGGCAAAGCTGGCACCAAAACTTTCCATGTTTAGTAGGACCTAATGAACACTTTTACACTAGGTGCTTGCTTTCAGCACAAACTTCACACGGGACCTTATTTTATGACATTTGCTCCCAGACTACAGGGCGGATAAAGTTTTTATCCGCCCTGTTTTCGCCCCAAGAATTCTCCACGTTTGTGCTCAAAACGGGAATGTTTCAATTCTGTCACTAAAAGTTTCTCCCCTTTCTCTGAAAAAAACGCATAGCTACTGTTATCATATCGCAAAAGCATTTATAAAAGTACCTTCTTTGCCACAAAAACCAAGCTTTCAAAGACGTATCGTATAAATACACGAAAGCAGATAAAATGACGAGCTGCGAGGTAAGGTAATTAGTTGAAAGCTTTATAGATACCGATTAAATACAAAATAAGAAATACGGCTTTGCAAACGATGATACTATAAACAACTAAGCCACATATGAAAGAGAAGCGAAGAAGCTTAGTTTAGGCGGCTATGTCAGCTACAGCGGCCGGATGTCTGTTATTGTTAACCTTAATTGTGACATGATTTTTTATGTTTTGATACCAGTTCGGTACAACAAACGTGGAATTTTTTCTTTTTCATTAAAATATACGTGGAGGGTTTGTACCTGGAAACCCCCTGAAGTTTTATAACTGTGGAATACTCCATGAATAGGGCATAGGTTCGATAGCTGCAATAGGTAGAAGTTGGATTTGTTCATTTTTTGAGGGAAATACTCGAGTCCTGAATCATGAAATTTGTTTCACATTTTTTTTACCCTGGTAACCTTTTGGAAAGCAGTTTAGGAAAGGATCCTGCCCGCCCTTAGCCCACAGCTTTTCAGCCAGAGAGCCCCCCTCCCCCAACCCCCCAACACACCCTCAAGTTGTCTCAATCCAACACTGGAACGCCTTCCCTTACTTTACATTACACAATAAAAACCACTCCTGTCATACTATAAAATAATTAAAATAATTTATTTTACAACTTCCAATACATGAGAATTAACACAATATTAATTTCTTAACTTAATGTTCATCTACCGAGAATTCCTTACTCATCAAATCTACAAATCTGAATTCCAGCTATGGGCACCAATTATGAATGTACAAACCAGAAATGTCATAACGTCATAGGATCTGCCTGAACAACCAGTTCTTTATAATATCACTTATATAAAAAAAAACAGTTTGGTTAGCTTGAAAACCAACCCCTGTGTTTTAAAATGACTTAGGTTTCCCAAAACTACTGTAAAAGCTCCAAGGAAAGGCTATAATACTATTGTGTCAAGCTGTTGCTTCTTGTCTCTCTGGCAATGGTTTGTACTATTCCAGCTTGTTAATTTAATTCTACCCTGAACAACTGCCCCAGGTCAGTATTGCGAGATTATCATACACCTTCATAGAAAATCTCCACTTTGTGCCAAAGTAGAGAGCACAATATTTTTAAAAATGAATTCAAAATGAGAAAATGATGCTGTGCAAATCAGAGAAGCAAATTGAATACTCAGTATTGATAACTATTAATAACCTGATATCTTTTTTACTGAAAAGAGAAACCAAAAACTAAATTTCAATCATAGGAAAACTCATTGTTTCAAAACAGGAGCAGTCACCATAGTATTAGAAGACGAGTAAGCATAAATACTTCAGTAGCCTAAAAAAGTACTAAACTTTTTCATTTGATCAATGGGCTGTTTTTGCACTATTATAAGGATGAAAATAAATATAGCTTCCTTGGATTATTGTTGTTTGTTTCTTGGTGTCAGAAATAGGCAAATATACAAAGAAGCAGACTTCTTTCTGATGAAAAGAATTCTGGCAAGATTGACTGTGTGAACAATCCTAACTCCAGGAAATTAAATTGAGCTACAAAACTACGGGACAAACTCATAAGTTCTAAAACTGTTGGAAACATTTACACTTGGTACATGACTCTAACTGATTCTGAAAGTTTGGATGCCTCCTGCTAAAGTATGTACTTTACGTACATTGTATAAATAGGTTCTCACCCACAAAACTACCTCTATTAATAAGGTGTCAAGACTGTCACTAAGATTCCAAGTTGTTGGGTGTATGCAATCTGTCAACAGGAATTGAACATCTAGTAAGTTCTTTTGGTTCTATTTTCCTTCTGTCTCTTATGAAAAAAGCCACGGTTCATGCTCATAGTAGCTGAGGGAAATACCCACCACTTAGTGACAGCCCTGAGTTCTTGTATCCCATTTATACCAACAAAACTAGGATTTTACACTACAGTGGAACCCCGACATAAAGAAGCATTGACTCAAGGAGAATTTGTTCCGTGAGGCACTAAATATTGCGATCCTGTTCCATAAATTATCATTAATTACATGGGGGCCTCGTTACACAGGGGTTTGTAATATTAGTCTTTCAGTGTATATTTGGCCACTTTTAAATGAGCTATTACTGTAGCAATCTGCTGATGAAATCTATATTCATAGGTGGGAAAATAAACTACTTTTAAACCAAGTAGTGATGATTTAAAAGCATTGGTTTAAATGGAGGATGTTAATTAAAGTATGAGTAAAAGAGGTAAAAAAAAAATCATACAACCTCCTCCATTTGTACTATGAGCCACAATATCAAGATTTACTCCTAGGATGACCCCAATTTACTCATGTAGGAAACAACCCAATAGTTAGTTGCTTATTGTGAACAGGAGAAGCCAAATCACAATGCCAAAATAGTAAGAAGCAATTTCCTTTCTGAGATTTTTTATTTATTTATTTGTCTACTTGAATGGCAGCCTAATTTCTTTCTGTAATTTTTCAAATCATAACTCACATCAGTTATCTCTATAATGCATTTTAACACTTGTACAGGGTTATCTATTTGTGAGTGTTCCACACAACGGGTTTAAATCAACTTTCTTTTGAAATAATTCAAAATATGTTGAGTTATTGCTCTGACTAACAAGAAATATTTGTTTCAATCATTTACTCTGCCCAGTATAAGTAGACTTTAGGGGAGTGGTAGGGGACAGTGAATAAACCTTATTTTCATTTTCTGTTGGCCCACTTTTTTCTTGTTTTGACAATGACTAATAATTATTATTGGCTGAACTGCACCTGTATGTCTTGAAAAGAAAAAGCTGTTCTTTTATGTATAAAACAAGATGGCTGTTGTAGTGAGGTAAATGTGTATCTAAAGGTATCAGTAAGTGATGAATGCCATAAAATTGAAAGTTAAAACTCAATTAACAGCAAGACTTCCTGTTATTTGAGTTTTAACTTTCAATGTTATTGCACTCAACACTTAATGACACATTTAGATACACACTTACCTCACTTAGTGATGGTGTTGGATTTGGATTTGTGATTTTCTTCCTAATGTTTCAAAAACGTTACAGATAACGTGTGATGATGCTTTTAAGGAACTTATGGCTCAATCTTCCCTAATTTGTGAACATTATTTACATTCTTACTTAAAACATATTTTAATACTACTGTTGTGAAGAATAATTACTAGTAAATTAATCCATAAAAAATTACACAGAGAGCGTAAAAAATCTGCAGAGAGAAAGAGAATTACAATATCATTTGGCTTTTGTATGATTAGTTCGTTGTTTAAATTTACCCTCGCTTAGAATTAATTTTAGTTCCTTTGTTTCAAACTCATTAACATACTGACAATACACCATTGCAAACAACAATGAAAAATATAATATAAACCAAGGATAAATTTAGACCACAACATAAATACATTTGAAAAGTCACAAGTGGTATGAATCACATTGCATTAATCTTTACTTACATGTAAACAAAAACAAATTATAATAAATACAAAGTTAATTTATGTTATATGTGATACCAGTAATTATGAATAAAAACAAAACAGAGCTTGTACTCATTTATGGTAACTTGCAACACATTCTTAAAGAACACACAAAGTAAAGATAATTTATAGCCTGTGAGCAACTCTTTGGGGAGCTCTGGCAGCAGAGCACCCCAGAGAGCTCGCTCGAAGGCTAAAGGATTATTGACCCTGTTTACACTGAGTTGACAAATCAAATTGTCAGCAACTGAGGACTTACACCTGCAGAAGCTTTCAAACTTGTGGGAGACCATATCTCGGGTCAAGTTCCTCAAAAATGAACATTTAAACCTTGCTCAACAGAAGCTGTTCCCCTAAATGCTCATACTCTCATTGGCTGTTTAGTTGTCAAGTAACCTTAACCTTCAAACCCGAGAATAAAATTGCACAAGAGCACAAAAAGCTGACAAGGTGTGGATTGTTACACAAATTCTTAATTGCTATCATATATGAAGAACACTACATAACAATATTATCAAATACCCTGCACATGAAATGTCTGTCTGTG